AGGGGGAGGGGGGGGGGGGGGGGGGGGGGGGGGGGGGGGGAGGGGGAAGACAATGAGTCCATTGGGGAAAGGCCAAGGGCCACAGGTGCCAGGGCCAAAAAGGGCCGGGCTGATACAGGCTCTTCAGCTGACTACTCGCTGCCACCCCCAGAGCAGCTGCCCTGTGAGAGGGCCTGGCTCTTGTTTCTGTGGCATGGGGGACTCCTAGCCCACCACCCCCACCCCCTCCCATCAACTGAGAAGGTGCCTCATTGCAGTGGATGGTTGATGGCCCACCCCAGAATTGGAGGGGGCCAGGGAGGATCTCTCCATCTCATAACTCAGGGGGTGAGCGTGTGACCCCACGGTGAGTCCCTGAGGGCTCCACCCGTGGCTCGGGGGCACCTGGATGGATGGGCCGGCTGGCAGCAGCTGAGACCCCCTCAGAGCAGAGCCTCGCCCTTCTCCTCCAGCTGCTCTTCGTCTTCCCAAACGTCATGCGGTGTCTCCCAGGGCCCCACCAGAGAATCTACGCCAACTACCTGAAGCTGGCAAAGTTTGTGGGCCAACGGCTGGAGAGGAACAGGCAGACCCTGGACCCCAACTGCCCCAGGGATTTCATCGACTGCTTCCTCATCAAAATCCAGCAGGTATCACCGTGGCCCCTGCCCAGCTCTGCCAAGAGGGCCAGGGGCTTCCTCCCGGACCCCCAAGGCCAGCTGCATTGGCTCCACTCGGGGGGAGGGGCCGAGCCTCCGCTTCCCAGGCCCTGCTAGAAAAGCCCCTCATTGTGGGCAGATGGGGTGATTTCCAAACCCTCAGCCTCAGTTTCTCAACTGTTAGAAGAAGCTACCAGGGCTGTTTCTGCCCCCTTGCAGGAAAAGGGCAACGCCAGTTCTCACTTCACCGAGGAGACGATGTCCAAGACCACCGTCAACCTCTTCTTCGCCGGCACCGAGACGGTCAGCTCCACCCTGCGCTATGGGCTGCTCATCCTCCTGAGGCACCCTGAGGTGGAAGGTAAACCGGGGGAGGGTGCGGAGGAAGGGGGCCTTGCAGCGTCCGAGCTCAGGAGAGTCCCGGAGCGGGCAGGACGGGGCACAGCGTCCAAAGCAGAAGGACAGGCAGCCCCCTTGGAATTCTCCCTCCCCCGCCCTCTCCCAGTGGGGCCCTCGGGGGGGGCCCTCCCCTTGCCGTGGCTTCTGGGCTGACTGGAGTTCTTCTGGCAGAGAAGCTGCATGAAGAGATCGACCAAGTCATTGGGGGCAACCGTGCCCCCTGCATGGACGACCGGAGTCAGATGCCCTACACGGACGCGGTCATCCACGAGATCCAGCGCTACGCCGACATCGTCCCTATGGGGGTGCCCCACACAGTCACAAGGGACATCGAATTCCGGGGATACAGACTCCCCAAGGTTCGGCCAAGTAGAGAACACGGGGAGGGGGAGGGGGAGGGGAGGGGACAGGGGTCGGCAGCAGCCTCTGCCGTGATCCGCTTGGGCTGGTTCCCACAGCTGCCTCCTCTCCGAGTCCAAAGGGAAAGGAGAAAGCACTCTGCACGTGCCTGCGATGAGCACCCTCCCTTCCCCCCTCAATCCCAGGGCCTCAACGTCATCCCCTTGCTCTTCCCCTCCCAGTAT